AAGTGCCTTCTTCCCAAAGGTATTAAATACGCGCTCTACCCGCCTATCAGCGGAAGGAACCTAAGCGCCGGTATCACACCGAAATTCATCTATACTGTAATTCCACTGGTTTGATTTGATGGTATTATAACTGATTAGGGGATGTAATCTTTGGAGACACGGTATACCATTGATGCTCTTGCTTGGTACTTAGTCTCAAAGCTCTCCAGATATCGATTCCTTGTGTTACTCTGTACTTAAATTAGAAATTCGTTATTAAATGTCCGCCGACAATACAATCGGGATTTGAAGACAACGTCGATGGCTTCCCTATTTTCTCATGGAAGAGGCTCGCAATTTTTCTCTATATCGCTTTAAAAATTCGGCGATAGATATCGACTTGTCCATTATCTATGTAATAGAAGAATCTCTAAAATATGTCCCATGAAAGCAACTGAGGTAGGAATCTCGTATATCTTCTCTTTCTTGATGCTGCAGGTCTCTTAAGGGACGGAGAAACGATGACAATGTCAAGCTTCCTTGCAGTTTATAGTGTGGTGGTCATTGATCGATCAGCCGAGGCGTTGGGTCATTGACGTACAACTGGACTGGCCTGCCCTGAGCCAACCCTGAGCCCACCCTGAGCCTACCGTGAGCCCGCCCTGAGCCTACCCTGAGCCTACCCTGAGCCTACCCTGAGCCCACCCTGAGCCTACCCTGAGCCTACCCTGAGCCTACCCTGAGCCTACCCTGAGCCCACCCTGAGCCTACCCTGAGCCTACCCTGAGCCTACCCTGAGCCTACCCTGAGCCAACCCTGACCCCACCCTGAGCCAATCCTGAGCCGACCCTGAGCCCACCCAGAGCCCACCCTGAGCTTACCCTGAGCTTACGTCAACTGAAGTGGAGGAAATTCCGTAGGCTCCCCGCACTGTATTACGGTATTCGCTTATTCAGCAACAACCACATTACCGTGTTCTGTATGGTAATTGCGATCATACCGGAAAAATTATGTCGTAACACGCAGTACATAGCTCATTGGATTATTTTACTAATCTAACAGATCCTCGATCAACCATCTTCATTAGCCGACTATATTCGTTACTGGCTGAATCGGTATCCAGCATCCTGAGAATCCTCCTCATTCGAGCAATTGGGTGCAATGAGATTGATTGACTTGGATATTGAATAACGATATCATCCCTTGTGACTGTATTGCCCCAACAGGATGTCAACACTGGGTTGGGTTCTATTTAACAATTTCAAAAGTAATCAAAGACGATGACCAATCCAATTCTAGAGCCCTGATTATCACAATCTTCACTTCCTATGCGTGACTAGACAAACGATGGGCCTTTTCAGTCTTCGAAGATCCACCTCGTGCGTTAAATCAAGTCCATATATGTGGCGGTTTCAATAGTCTAAGCAATAGTCTAAAAGATTTTATCCAATATGTGAATTATGCCCAGCAATAACAATTGAGCTACTCGAAAGCAAAGCGCTGTGGCAGATCTGCGATCCTGAAAGCTACGCGCACACACGCTGAGACATACCGGTACGTCTGCAATTGTATCAAAATGACTTGAAGATTTACGATATTTCCAATGTCATAAATAAAAAGAGGCAAGACTAGAACATCATGAGATCAATCGAAGGATAAGGGAACGGATGACTGTTTTTTCTTGTGAGTTGTACTCCAGTAGACTTGTATTGACCCCTTGCTCCGCCCGGGGAATTGACGTGAAAATTGCTTGATCACCTCTGACCAAGAGAGTTCCTGCTTTTCTCTTAGCTTCGTCAAAAGGTGATCTTCCTCCCCGGACCACGGCTGTCCTTTTCTCGAAAATGTACCTTGCACTTCAGCCCGTTCAGTGTTTAAGCTTGTGTGATCACAGTCGTAGCTCACATCAAATTGGCCGGGGACCGGTCTTGACGGAGAAGCGGCATCGGGGCTGGAAGGCGAAGAGGCGCAATGAGATAGAGCACCCTCAAACAGCCAGGAAAGGAACTGTAGTCGGTCTTCGACTGATAGGGCCGAGAATTGAGCACGGACTGTAGGGAAGGAAATGCTTTGACGATGACCAGAACTTTTATTGAACCGGCCTGGGCTCTTGTTTATGTGCCTTTTCCCAGGACTAGAACGTTTTGTGGTTTTCAATTGGCAATCAGCGCCCACCGTCGCCTTTGAGTTCTGTCGTCTGCGTTGGAGGGATGATGCTTTCTCCTGAGAGCGAGTGGACCTCGCGGGACAGTCTTCCCGGATTGTCGCGATACCCTCCGCTGTTTGCGGCTGCTCAGCATCCTGAGAGTCATTGCCGTTCAGGATTGCAGGATCAATGATTTCAATACCTGGTAGCTCTCCATTCTGAGCATCGTCTTCAGAATCGAAAATTTGAGGTTGTTGACCAGCAAAGCCGGTAGGCTCCGAGCCGCCCGATTCCAAACCCAGGGGTTGATGCTCAGCGTCCCAACGAACACCATCAGCAAATATCGCAGGAGCGACGTCATCGGCGCACACTATGTTTTGTGGCTGCAGAATGTTCTCAGAGTCGAAAGACTGGGGTAAATAGACAGTGGAAGGTGTCCGACCTGAGCCCTCCCATTCTCGTCGAGTGGTTTGAGTCTCCGAATGCAAACTATCCAAGCAGACTTCCGTCGGCGGGCGGGCAGGAAGCGGATGTCGCTCAGGTTTGTTGGAATGAAGTTTGTAGCTCTTTGGGTCTTTATCGCTTGAATTGGAGGGTGGCGGGGTCGCAGTGATCGAGACCGGACTTGGATAGCGACAAGCACCGGGGGGATCACGCAGAGGCTGGGCTTTGTCTTGGAAAGGATTCCATGGACGAAATGATTCCAGGCGAAAGTTGGTGTTTGACATGTTGAAAAAGGTAGATGGCTAGAAGAATCCTGAAGGTGTTGCTTTGGGAAGGGAAAAGGAGGGGGGTTGGAGGTCGAGTGTGTAGCAGGGTTAGGGGGGAGGGAAGGGGGAACTGATGGATTGATTGAGCCATTCGAAGGAGATTGTCATCTCCTTTATAGACAAGGATTTCCCGTGAGACGGCGCAGAGAATTCACCGCGGCATTCAACTCGAGCCGTTTCACCGTCACATCAAGGCGCGGAGCCACACCGGTTGCACATCAAGGGGCCGAAGGCCATCGGCAAAAGCTTCCGCACACCTCGGTGGCGGCCTATTGTGACCCGGCTCCACAGTGGTCGTCAGCCTAATCTCCAATCGCTCATGTATGCGCGTGGTCGGCAGCCGTCTGTAGAATGGACCGTCGGCCTCGTGATGCAGTACTAGGCATCGATTGAGACCAGGCAAGAATGCGGCAATTTCGCCATTGGTCCGTATCACGGCATGGTCGTCCGAAGTCTCGTCGACTGGGTAACAATGGTCAGGAGAAATAGACAATGACGAAAGTCTTACCCTTAGGCAGTCTCGAACAAGCGGGCCTGCGTGGACGACCGGGGGCTGTACAATGCAACCTCGGACGGTCCACAGCAAATCAGGAGCGTGTGTATTGAGGATTTCCGAGACACTCTTCTCCGGCCGCGCAAAAACAATGACAGCAAAATGAGCGAGGCGCTCAGCGAAATGGGCTCGCAACAGGAGGAACAGGAGGGTTTCTCGAGAGCTTCATAGTATAACCAACGGGCGGCGGAGATGCTAGCATCGTGTTGCACGATATGTCCGAAGACTTCATGATCTCAATGCATCAACTCGCCAGGGATTAGCCCGCGTTGCAGGCAACGCTGGCCAGAACGGGCTCAACGGTGGATCGAGCAGCATCTCCGGCGGAAATGAAAGGGGCGATGCATCAGGTGGCAAGCCAATGGGTAGAAGTTGGTCGGGGCCGAGAGAAAGGGAGTCGGACAGGAAAAAGAAGAGAAAGTGCGTCGACAAAACTGCGAGGAGGAGAGCGGTGTTTTATAGATGGGGGTGCCGGTTGGGGGACACGGTAAAAGCGGCCAGAGGTGGCACTAAACCCGAACGGGGACGCGGACGAGGGCACCAAACCCGAAGGGGCAAGGGGATGGCGGAGACGGGCAGGCGGTCGAGGGCGGCAGGACGGCGGTGCAATGAGAGCCGGTTCTGGCCCCCCGCTCACCGTGTCCTCGTATACTCACTTATATTAAGGGAGTACGGTAGACCTAGCACTATACTCCTAATAGGCGTTATCCTTCTCCTTCTATCACACTATCCTAAGGGGTCATTCCTTTTGTCGCGTTCTTCTACCCTAAGAGCTATTAGGTCGACTGCTTAGAACTATTCTAAGAGATTTGTCTGTATTATGAATTCGGTCACAATCGCGCGTGCCTCTACCCGCGCTAAGAGCGAGTCGAGTTGAAGAGCGACTCCACGGTCCGCTAAAGCGGTTCTCATCCAGTTGTGCTCATCCTTTGAAACCCCTTATCGTTTGAGAGTAAAACCTGATGCAGATAATTCTGTGAGGATTATGTTTAACCAGCAATTTGTGCCCAGATTTTGCAAGCTCCGTTTAAAACACTGGATTATTGAAGTTAAAGTGCGGTTTCAAACCCCCGCCGTTCTCTTCCGTTGACCGCGTTGAAGCCACAGTTAAACGGTCATTTGGGTCTAGACGTGCAATCGAGGGTAAGAAAAACCGATAGTAATCAATTAACGGTCAATTAACTGAGCATCAACTGTCGCAAAAAACCTTGGTTTTCAACCGCTACGTGTTAGGCCTCTTCACGGGACCGAAAAGACCGCAGCCAAGACCGCACTGGACCGCTGGGCGGTCCTACTTTTTAGGGACCGCACCACTGCGGTGTGGTGCGGTCCTGCGGTCCTGTAAAAAAGCAAAAAATAAGACACATCTATAGATTGTTTCGCACCACGTGATACCGGTTTTCCGACCCTGTCTTGCCAGTACGAGCCGCTGCAATATCCACTTCTCTTTCCACATGGCACGCGAGGTTGGGGCTTTCTCGACGAGTCCCGGAAAAACAAACCTTGCACGCAGATCCAATGGTACCGCCACCTGTTCCTGGGCGAGCCACGCATGCGGATCTATGGCCGTTTGGCGTGTGAATATGCTGTGGACATGTTCTCGCGGACGGAGGAGGAGCGCCTGCACTATCTCAAACGGGGCCGACGCATGCAAGCTGCTGCCATGGATGAGGCTCCAAATCCTGACATCCCCGATCTCTTCGAGAACAAAATCCCTGCCGGTTTCATGGGGTCCCGGGCCTGGGCTTCGGACCAGGTGGCTGACTCCCTCGCGATCGCGCGACAGCTGGCCAAGCCGTCACTGTTCCTCACCATGACGACCAACCCTAACTGGCCCGAGATTCAGTCCCAGTTGCTCCCAGGCCAACATTTCACAGACATCTTGCGGTGGTGTGCCGTGCATTCCACGGACGACTCTGTGGGCTGAAGGCCTTTATGAGGGAGAAATTTGGAGGCCTCCTGTACGAGATATGCGTTACAGAGTTCCAGAAACGGGGTCTACCACACGCGCATCTGGTCGTTAAGCTCCAACATGAATTACCTTTGAGCTAACTAGATGGCTTCATCTGCGCCGAGTTACCAGATCCGGACGAGGACCCTGCCCTACATGCAGCGATCGGCAGATTCCACATGCACTCACAGAACCACTTGGACCGGTCCACGTCACGCTGCAACCGAGACGGCCGCTGCATTTACGAGTACCCTCAACCTATCAACAACCAGACTTACATGGATGATCTTGGTCGTGTCCATTACCGCCGACGCAAGCAGGAAGATCGATGGGTGACTCCTCATGTACCCGCCCTAGTGCACCTGCTCGACTGCCATATCTATGCGGACGTGTGCTCTACAGCGACGATCTTCCTTTACCTGTTTAAGTACCTCTTCAAAGGACCCGATCGGGCGCGCTTTGGTATTCGGGCCCTCCACGATGCCCGGGCAGACGGTGAGGACGACCAAATAGATGAGTTCAGAGACTATATGAACGCCCGTTACCTCTCTTCGTCCGAGGCTGTCTACCGCATCCTCAACTTCCATACTGTCTCCAAACGTCCTGGCGTCCGCTGCCTCTCTGTCCATCTGGAAGGCAAGAACTTAGGGAGGATGCACGATCGAAACCAACCGGGTTACTCCGAGATGAGCGACCTGTTGTGGTACTTCAAACGCCCATCCACAGAAACCTTCTCAGGCTTGAAGTATACCGAGTTCTTCAGCCTTTATTACCTAGAGACGGTGCCCCTGGATGTTCCACTACACAGAGGTCAGACCCTCATTGCTACTGTCACCACCGAAAAGGGACCATGCCAAAAGGTGTTGCGCCGTCGAGTCCGCCAGCCTATTGTCACCCGACTTCAGACCGTCCCACTTCGTCTGAAGGAAACGTTTTACCTACGCGCACTGCTCCAGGTGCGGCCTGCGAACAGCTTCGAAGATGTCCGCACTATGCGGGGTCACTGCTATCCCACATACCAGGAGGCTGCCACTGAGTTAGGACTCTTCCAGGATAACCACGAGGCCGTGTACGCGATGAATGAAGCGATCACAGCCTACAGCCGCCCGTCCCAGCTCCGCTTTCTCTTTGCCCAGCTTCTGTCTAACCTTCCATTTCCAGCTGTGGAACTATGGTCCCGCTTCCAGGGCGATCTCAATGCTGACTATAGACTACGTCACCCTACGGCCCACGCCACAGACCTTGCCTTGCAGGACCTGGCACGCTATCTCTCAGCACAGGGATCGTCCTTGGCACAGTGTGGCCTACCGGAGCCCGTTCAACGTTGTGCGGAGGTGGATTTGGAACTTGCCTTCTTCCAGACCCAACTGTTATCTATCCGCGGGAGGCATAAGGAGGCCTACGGTAGGATGAATCCGGATCAGAAAGGCATCTTCGATCATCTCCTAGACCAATCGGACATTGGCGGCTGCTACTTCATCGACGGCCGTGCGGGTCGCGGGAAGACATTTTTGATGAGCGCCATGTGTGATCGCATTAGGGCAGACGAGCGCATCGTATGCGTGACTGGAACCACCGCCCTCAGTGTGATCCATTACGAGCGGGGTCGGACGGCCCACTCGGCCTTTGGCATTCCTGTTCAGGAGTCTGACATGGGCTTGGTGTCTAAGGTCAGCCCCCAGTCAGGTCGTGCAGAGCTCCTACGCCAGGCCTCGCTCCTGATCTGGGAGGAGCTGCCGATGGCGAAGAAGGCGGTCGTGGAGTGTACAGACCAGCTCCTTCAAGATATCATGAGAAATGACCTGCCATTTGGAGGAAAACTCTTCATCGGCCTAGGGGACTTTCGTCAGGTGGCACCAGTCGTCCGCGGAAGTTCTGGGCCTACAGCAACTCTCAACAGCTCTATCCGCACCTCCACGCTCTGGAACCACTTTAAGGTCCTGCGGCTGACTACCCCGGTCCGACAGGCCGGGGGTCCGGTATACGCAAGATGGGTGGACCAGGTAGGAGATGGTGTACACCCCTATGAGATAAGTGTGCCGCTGCATCATTTGCAGCATCTTGACGACCTTGACGCTGCGGCAGACTTCCTCTTCCCGCAAGATTCCGTCTCCACCTCCGCCGCTGCCGTCCAGCACGCATTGCTTAGCCCGTTTAACGCGCGCGTTGATCTGTTTAATAAGCTCATCTTAGAACGGTTACCGGGGGTGCAGGTATTTCGATTTTTGCTAATGACTATTCCCTGTAACATGATTCTAATCGCTTGACGCAACTCACCCTTCACGCTCCTCTGGCTAACCTTGCACTGTGCCAGAAACCTATTACAGTCATGATAAGATTAAAGAACTAGACGATTCCACCTTCAATCTCCCCACGGGTGCAGAGGCGGATCTTCTCTCGGTATTGAACGAGCCCGGAATACCCCCGCATGAGCTCTCACTCAAAATTGGCGCCGTTGCTAGCGTGATGAGGAATCTCTCCATCGAGAAAAACTTGGTCAAAAACGTGAGGGTCCAGGTGGTTAACCTGCTACCAAATGTCGTGCAAGTACGGTAACTACAACGAGCATGCACGCCTAACACCGAGTCGCCGACGTTCTACCTGCCACGGATCACATTCGAGTTTCGGCCTCACCGCGCGAATTGGACGGTGCAACGGCGGCAATTTCCGCTGCGTCTAGCTTATGCCACCACCTTCAACAGCTGCCAGGGACTCACCCTGGACCGGGTTGTGCTAGATCTCACCCTGCCGGTCTTCGCCCATGGCCAACTTTACACTAGCTTATCCCGCGTCCGCTCTGCCGTAGACATCCGCATTCTCCGAGACCCAAATGACACAGAGCAAGACAACATTAATGTCGTTTATCACGAATTGCTACTGCCTCTGTGACAGCAGATAATGGGGCGAGATTCGACCTTTATGCAGCCACCATGCCAACGTTCAACCTACGTTGAGAACTTTTATTTAGTCCGATAACATCGATATTTCAAGAATGAAACTCCCTACCATCCTACTCGCCGCGCCCCGTAGCAGCGGCCTTCGGCCGCTGCCAAGGCGACTCGTAAGGGAGTAGTTTTATTGGGGTTGCCTCACAATGCCCGTAGCCTCACGTGATATCTACACCGACATTACTGAGGGCCTCTTCCTCCTACAACTGCCTCACAAGAGTCAGTTGCTTGCCTCTGCGGGTAGCTCGTCATCTCTCACGCAGTCAAGTCTTTATTTTGTTTCACGTCCTTCTCCAGGGCAACAGCACCGATAGGCCCTGACTATATCGCTCTCCACCATGACGTTCAGCCAGTCTAACAGTGCCACTCCTGCCCCGCTCGACTCCGCTTGGCCGCCGGCCCACATTTGGGAAACCATGGGTGCGGCAGACCGTGCCAGCTGGCTAGGACAGATACAGAGAGACCGGGCTAGGCGCCTTGAATTGGATGTAGCGGAGACCGACCTCCGCCGCAGAAGGCCTCGTGTGGACCTGCAAGATGACGATAATCTCGAAGAAAACCGTGAGCCACTCCCCGGAGTCAAACCACTCATCGACATATTTCCGGGTGTCTCCGCCGCCCTTCTTACTCGCGTCTTCGAGAAGAAGTTGAAGGCGACTGAACTCATACGCTTCAAAGAGAAGTCAGTCACCGAGCTAGATCAGGAGGACAGAGTCTTCAAGATGACCGAGTTGGGAGGCACAGTAGGCTTCAAGAAGGCAGCAGCGTCGCTGAAGGACTGGGGTCTCAACCCTCAAATATGGACGACCTGCTTTCTTGCCTATCTGGCCGTTGCAGGATATCTCTTCGGCGAAAAACATCCTAAAGCAGTTCCCAATCTACTCATGTTTATGAGGCAGATCCTGGACTTCGCTCAGACTTATCAGTGGTCGGAAGCAGTCCTCCCACTTGCCCTTAATTTCCACCAATACATGATGGATAAAGGAGAGTTATCGACGGACAACTACCTGGTCACAGGCCCATTTCACGAGAAATACCTCCGCCACAATCTCACCCTGTTTGGGAAGTCACCAGCAAACCCTCCAACCCGGCCTCGTCAAGCTAGGAATACCAGATCTTCGAATAATGGGACAGAAGTTTGCAATAAGTTCAATACGACAGGGTGCTCCTGGGAAGGCTGTAAGAGACGTCATGAGTGCACGGCATGTGGGCTAAGCGAGCATGGCGCCTCCTCCTGCCGCAAGAAGAAATAGCAAGTGACAGCCCTTGAGAACTGCACTAGTGACACCGACAACGTTGTTCTCAATCCCCTATCCCTAAGCCTCATACCACAGGGACAACCACCCAGACCGAACACTGCTGTTCAATACCCCGTTTTCAACCCAGAGCTTCCAAGGCTACAGTTCTCTCCGTCGCCACTGCATGCGAAAGGCTGGAGCAATCTTCTACGCTACTATCCAGGCGATCTTGGGTCCACTATCGCTGGCATTCTGACCTACGGTGTTCAGGTCGGTAATAGGGGCAAGAAGCAGTTTCGCTATTCCTCCAACCATCACATACATGAACCCGGCATGATCACGGCCAAACTAGCAGAGGATCTCAGCCTCGGTCGTGTTAGACTAGCCTCTAGGCCCTCCTTCGTTTCACCGCTTGGGTTAGTCCCTAAGCACGACGGGGGATAGCGCCGCATCCATGATCTATCCTGGTCCCCTGGACAGGGCCTTAACCAGGGCATACCGGACTCCTGGTCAGCTATCGAATACATGACAATTGATGACATATACGACCAGGTCATACAAGCTGGCCCAGGTTGCACGATAATCAAGAGGGATATCAAGGACGCCTTCCGAATAGTCCCCGTTGCCGAGGATAACCAGCACCTCCTTGCCTTCCAGTGGGCCGATTGCACTTATGTCGAATGCTGCCTCCCCTTTGGCCTCGCAACGGCCCCGTTTCTCTTCAAACTCTTCGCCGAGGCACTTCATTGGATACTCCAATGCCTCCTCCCTACATTCTATATCAATCATTACCTAGACGACTTCGTCACAATTACTCGGTCTCCCTCAGTGTCCGACCCCGCGGGCCTTTTTTGATGAGGTTTACAACAGAGTCACCGACTATCTACGTATTCCTCGCAATACAAAAAAGGACCAGCAAGGAACCTGTGTTACAGTCCTAGGTATCCAGATCGACTCCATTGCAATGGAAGCTCGTCTGCCGCCAGAAAAGTTGTGCCGCGCCACATTGGACGCCGCAGCTGTCCTGAACGCAGCGAGTCTCTCCCTCAAGCAAGCAGAGCGCCTCACAGGCTTATTAGCCTTTTGTTCAAGAGTCGTCCGACTTGGAAGAACAAGACTACAGTCTCTATACACCTTCCAAGCCGCTTTCCCACATGGGAGTAGTGCGCGCCGCCGTATCCCTTACGAGGTACGTGACGATTTGGAATGGTGGAGGGACTCCTTGTCTCTCTTCAACGGCGTACTCCTAATTGACCCCTGCCGCCGCCCCATCACGCATCTCTACACAGATGCCTCTAGTATAGGCCAGGGGCTCTTCTTCTTCTCATCCCAGTCTACATTAGACTGCTGGCTAGCCCATTGTCACCAGCTTCATCCAAGCAATGCTGCCACATTGGCCCTTGCTCAAGACGCACATGCGCACATCAATACCAACGAAGTAGACGCTATTCTACAAGGCTTCCTACTCTTCAGCCACCATTGGCTCCATCATACTCTCGCTATCCACACGGATAGCTCCACAGCGCACTCGGGACTCAAGAAAGGCTTTCTTCATGGTCCGCCTAACGCACCTCTGAAGAGCCTGCTTATCCTAGCGGCGGCGAGAGACATCCATATCGTGCCACACTGGCTTCCCTCCGGGGAAAATACATTAGCAGACGCGCTCTCACGTAACAAACTTGAAGACATTGCTACATTTGTCCCCATTGGCAGGACCTTTCGGCATTGAACCGCCCGCGTAGTTCTCTTCACGAGCTCCTCAGCTCAACGCGAGCCATCTAAAACTGCTCTGGAACGGACTCAGCGCCAACACACGTTCCGTTTACGTCTCTGTTCAGCGCAGCTATGAAAAGCACTGCGCGCTACAAAATTTATCCGCATGGCCAGCTTCAAGACAGTCATTGACCTCATGGCTAATCTCACGACTCCTTGGTAACGCTAGCCAAAAGGCCGTTAAGCCTGACACCGCACTCGCCGACCTAGCCGCTCTCCGAGCCTACCATATCGATAATTTCCTTGACGATAAACTCTTCGACAACAAGCATTTTCGACGTCTCATAGACGGCGCGAGAAGACTTAACCCAGTCACAAAAGTACGGGTTAAAAAAGCTATTTCGCGTGACACTATTACCAAACTATCCGCGGGCCTCGCCGCACTCCCGTCACGGCCCTTGGACATGTCTGCGAACCTTCTAGACGACTTGAACTTCGCAACCGCGTGCCGGGTAGCATTTGCTGGATTCCTTCGCCTCGGAGAATTCACCTACAAGACTGACGATCTCAGCACACATTCTATCTTCTCAGCCACAGAGTTAACGCGCTCCGACGTCAGATTTTCGTCCTCGTTAGACCACGCACAACTCACACTCAAGCGCAGTAAGACGGACCGCCGTCACGAAGGGATGCAAATTATTCTTGCAAAGACAGGAGACGGCGCGAGCCCAGTTAATGCCGTTCAGAAGCTGCTACTTCTCGACCCTAGAGCGCCCGACGCCCCATCGTTCTCCTTCCACAGAAGACCATTCAGTCGCAACAACTTCCTCTCGACCTTATCTACTAAGCTAAGAGCGCTTGGACTACGGACAGAGGGCTACTCCGGTCACAGTTTTCGGAAGGGTGCGGCTCAGCATGCGCACGATAGTGGGATACTCGACGACCAGATTCAAATGCTAGGGAGATGGACCTCAGAGGCTTTCAGGGTGTATTTTACGACGAACGCGTCAATTTTGTACAAGCTCAATCACCAGTTCCAGACAGGCTCGCCGGTCCCGCTGTCTCTGCTACTTCCGCCACCTTCCCCTCCACCATCCTAGTTTGGCCGGGTCATATGGGCCCTATCTGACGCTACGGTCTACGACCGCAGCGACAGGTGACCCGTTATGGCCAAACTACACTCTTCTTGCTCCTCTTGACTGCGTGAGGTCACCAATAAAATTGGATATTACGGTGCAGCTGGCTTGGCTTACAGGTGAGTACGTAAGTAATCGCTCCCTCACTGCCCTGCCGCAGACCAGCGAACGGCATTTTGCCCACAGCTCATCTGTCTAATATTTCGTCCTCATCTATTGTATTCAGTGTTAGTGAACACATGTTCGGAAACGTTAAATATATCCAGATGAATGAATAATAAGCTGAGGATGAGGCGGAGTGCCACTCAAGGCCGAAGCAGTATGTTCGAGGATTTTCAATGTTGTTGGGCAATCTGCCGCTTATCGCTCCTTACTCAGTTCCTAACCGTTTGTTCTTAACCGTTTGTTCTTACAGCGAACGAATACAAATCTGGTACAACTGTCTCAAAGACGAAGCATCACTGTTACTGTACATCTCGTTGATCCCTTCAGCTCCAGTGAGACATTTCTTAATACTATGACCCACTCGTCTCGTACTCCTAATTTCCGAGGACTACTTCGTTGTTAACGTAGCTCGCCTACAGAGGATTTCGAAAACAGTTTCCCCCCCCACACACACACACGATTTCTTTCCCAGAGGCCCACAAGAACGTCTATTCTGGATCCGCTGCGTTTCAGATTCCCCCGCAGCTAATAATGCGGTGTTACGCCTCAAAAAAAGTACCCTCAGCTAGCCAAAGTTAGATTAGCGCATTCTGAGTGGGGCGCTGGGAAAGAAAGCGTATGTGTCTGGGGGGTAAACTGTTTTCGAAATCCGCTGTACAGTTTCCGCAAAGAGCATAAGACTCCCAGATGTCCCATATGAGATGTGCTCAAGCTGATCAGAGATAGTAGTTAGCGGCGCGCAAGGGGAGCGTGTAAACCCTCTCGCTCACCCAAATCAGGCTTGTCAATATGGAAACCACGCAACTCAAGTGGAATAAAATCATCAGTCCAGTTGGCTATCACGGTGGTTAATGTCAATGTCTTGATAGGCCTTATCGTGTTGAACTAATGAAGAGCAGCGAGCACCTTAGGCAACAGTGATACTAGGTATGTGATGCAAAAAGAAAGCTGAAAAACAAATTCGGGACTCATGCCAACCGTAGACCGGTCATACATCCGACTCGGGCGCGGTCAGATGGAGCCATGGCACCATGGGCAACTTCTCAGAATGAGTACCCTCTTCAAGCGAGACATCCTGCGAGTAGCGGGGTGAAGTCTGCCACCCGAAGTGGGTAGCGAAAGACATGAAAAGATATCCAATGAAGAAGCCGAGCATGCAAGCGGCGAGACCGGCGAACGCACCCAGCACAGCAGGCAGCATAATCGGTGGAAGGATACGCATGAAAGCATTCTTCGGGCGCTGGTGGTGTGGATGACGATGATCAGAAGGATCGTTGGGCTGAGTCGGCGCAGCCCAGAAAGACGAAATAGACAACGGCGATTTGGACTCAGTGTTGGAGTTGACGTCGGAGTCGACAGACACATCCTTGATCTCTATGTGATCCTGGGATTCAGTCGACTGCGATTCAGTTGGCTGGTAATCGTTCTCGGCAATCGAGGTAGACGTCTTCGCATGGAAAAACGACATGACATGCGTCTTCCAGTACTTCACAGCCCACGGCCCACTCTTCTGCGCGAAGTGATCTGCCTGGTAACCGCCGCGCGCGGGTCGGAGACTAACACGAGTGATTTGGTGAGAACCATCCTGGAAACTGACCAGGTCGACGACTGTAGCGTCTGGGGAGACGAGGTTCCCATGTAGATCGTGTAGTTCAACGCGCACCCGGACAATACCCGCTACCAAACCCACGTTGCTTGCGGGCAGGGGACGGCTGTGGATGCTGTAAGTCAATTCCACGGACTTTTCACTCTGGGTGGGATGAGAGGCTCGGTAGAGAGGCGCGGTGAGTTGCATTGTTGTTGATGGGGGGTAGACTTGGTCGTTATTGGCGTAGAGGCTGCCATCTTTGATGGACCAGTCAATGGACTGTGGATTTTAGCACGAGTATTCTGTGGATTTTGCGTATTCTCGAGAGTGCACATACCAGAAGTGATTTGACGCCGGTTTCGAGGTCATTGGGCGAAGAAACAAAAGGAAGGCGGAGTTGGTGAGACTTGATGGGCGTTGCGGAGGCGACCGCCAGGCAGAGGGCCAACCATGGGAGACGCATGATTAATAGGAGAGTAGAAGGAAAGGAAAGAAAGGGAGTGTGGAAAAGGGGAAAGAGGCCAAGGGGTAATAAGTAACAAGAAGCCGACTGCACGGCTGAGAGGGAAAGCTAAGGCTGTTGAACCCCAGGACTCCAGAGGTATTATTTTGGAATGGCTGTCTGTCCGAGAAGCATAGAAGGATCAAGAGAGAATGTGGGGTGGATGTGATGTGAAATATAGGAGCCTAAACCTATCCTCTACTTCTACTCCGTGGTAACCGTGGAAAATGACCTCAATTCCCCTTCAAAGCCCCTTTCAGGGTCAAAAGCTTAGCATTCAATGTTTCAAGTGGGCCTGAACATGTTTCATACATTCCTTTTGATTGGTCTTGACAGGTTTATTATTATCTGCTTAATTCTGAGCGATTTAGTGCTAGTTTGCTTAGCCTTGGTGATTTGTCGCAGCGACAAGGCTTGACTAGCTGCATTCACTGTAGTCCTTTCCCATGGTCGATCTCCCTAGAGCCTCACCTCAGTGGTACAGGGGTACCTGTATGCGATCCGACCTGGTGAAGAGACATCCGTAAGCCTATGGTGTTGGACGCGGCAGACTTCGGCAACCCATGAACGGCAACACCGGAGGTTGTTCCCATGTCTTCCTTAGTCTTCGCCGCAACGTCAAGTTCAACGTCGAGGTTCGTCACGCTCTGGGCATAAGAGACAGTAAGTGGCCACGTCCACATGTGAGCTAAACTACCACGACCTATGCCGGCAATAAACCTTTCCACTCCCTAGTGCAAGTTGAAAAGTTTTTCTAAGCTTTTAGGGGGCTGGAACCTCGCGGAAATATCAGCTGTGGATCGACCACGGCGAATCTCGTGGCCTCGCCGCCCAAGGTACGCCACGTGCCCTCGAGTTGCCAAAAATCCCAATTCACTATACAAAACGCAAAGAAACATGGGTCCATCTAAAATTAGACTTTGTAGTGGTGACTTAAGACGGTGTCAATGGGCGTTGTGTGGGGGTAGTCCTGACCGTCACAAATATCAGTGAATACCGGAATCTAACAGAAATTAGTGACCAACATTGTATGGGTTCTCCAACGGTAATATTAAACTCTCTGCCTAACTAAAAACTATGAAATTGACAATTTTGTAGGATATGCTGACAAAGAGTAATATGCACTTTTATGTGAGGTGTCTGATTTGATGTCGTAAGATATTCTGGGTAAATACCCAGAAATCCACACGCAGATCCACCATATTTCTGACAGAATCTGCTGTGCAGGGCTAAGGTTTGTGTTCTCCCGTGGTCGGGGTCACATGGTGTGCGTGGTACCTGCATGGGAGGCGCCCTGCATGGTATTGTGGCTTTGTTTTCCAGGAAATTAAAAGAAAAATAAATAACAGAATTCCGATAGGAATGGAAGGTTGGAAAGAGTAGCGTCAACGCTAGATCCTTCGAAATATCCGAGACCCAATCCATGGACTTGTTCGGGTGATATTCGGTGCCAAGAGAGTTCCCATCTTCCATGGTTGAGGGCGAAAATACTCTAACATAAGTAAACAAACATGTTTCTCCCACGGTGGGAGGATGTACTCACGGTTATAATGTCATGAAATTGAACATTTTCCATGTCTTCCCCACTTTTGATCCTGCGATCTTCCATAACCTTACTGGTATTTTAAATCCTCGGACATTCTCTCGGCTTTATGCTGACGCATAGCCCTATCCAGTACTGTTAGCGTTACACCTCGTGGATTACTGCGGTCTGGTATAGAATCCTTGTGATATGGATATGTATACAGAGTATTTTAAGACATGTATACAGAGGGTGTAGAGCAATCACAAATACAAACAGCCATAGCCATATGGCCATATAGCCATATACAGGTAAGTAAACAGAGTCACTAGGTTGGAACGGGCCCACCGTATTGGGCGCCATGCTTGGCTTTGGACCCCACTTTGAGACATAGAAATGTAAGTCGCCTCGCAGGCTTCCCTTTTCTTCTTCTCTTCTCATCCAACTCCTTCGTTTAAAACGATAGTCAATCTTTTTCAATTACCCCACTCCAGTCACTCTTTGTCAATCCCGACACCGCCAGAATGCATTTCACTGCCGCTACCATCGTCTCTGCTCTCGCCGTCGCCGTCTCGGCTTTGACTAGCCCCGACTATACCAAGAACCCTTCGGGCAACGCCATTGTTTCCCCTGGCCGGAACGAGATCGTCCCTGAGGGCAAGGCCTACACCATCAAGTGGCAGCCTACCACCACTGGCCCCATATCCCTGGTCCTCCTCCGTGGCCCCTCCAACAACGTGCAGCCACTCAAGACCCTCGCCGAGTCTATCCCCAACAGCGGGTCCTTCTCCTGGACGCCTGGCACCGACCTCGAGGTTGACACCAGCCACTACGGTATCCTCCTCGTCGTCGAGGGCACCGGCCAGTACCAGTACTCCACTCAGTTCGGTCTCGGCGCCGCCGCCGGTGGCTCCTCCGAGTCCACCATCAAGATCAGCACCGCCGACTCTACCAGCACTGGTGCCGCCACTACCACCACTGAGACCACCAGTAGCACCACCATCTGCCCCGAGACCGAGACAACCTCGGCCCCGGCCACCACCTCCACCCCGGCCTTCTCCACCGTCGTGCAGAGCACCGAGATCACCACCACCATCTGCCCCGAGACTGAGTCCACTGGCGTTCCCCAGACCTCCACCACCATCCCCTCCGGCACCGCCTCCGCCTCCCCCTCGGCCTCCTCCCCCGTCTTCAACAGTGCCGGCCGTAACGCCATCAGCTTCGGCGCCATCTTCGCCGGTGCCCTCGCTGCTTTCGCCCTCTAAGCGAAAAGGCCTTTTTATATCGCGCATAGTGAAGGGTTGGGTTTGACCTGTGATATCTCTTTTTTTCTTTCTTTGAAGCCCTCTCGAATAATATCTGTTGTTTATGAGGCTTAATTTACAAATCTTTTGATTCAGGTTTTTTGGTGATCCCCATCGCTGATCCTCTATTTCTTTCATACCATGTCTTTACTTTTCTCAATATTACGTTGACTGCGTGCCCTTCTGCTATGCTCGTGTAATGTGAAATTCATGCCTTATGCCTTGTTTCTCGGTATTCTCTTGTAGATATCGGGCATGGGCTTGTCTTCATGTAATTATGTACATTTACAGATATTCATCTCGAATCTGCCTAGCAAATTCCAGATGCCCAATCTCAACTTCAGATTTTTGGGCCGCCCCTTACTTGGAGGCTAAGCTCAGCATATTCACCCAGTGGGTGCGTGCTTCCATTAACAAGTTGTCAGCAAGTGGGTCTAGTTTGGCCGTCAAGCCATCATCATTCGCCCTGAGCCGATCCGCAACCCCTTTTTCTCACCGCCTTGAAAAGCTTGCTAAAGCTTAGCATCAAGTTTATTCCGAAAGCGACCCCGCGGAGAAGCAGGTACCATTTGGGAATACCCCAGAGACTGCGTGGAATTAAGTATTTTACCACTAAGGGCTGGCTGGTTCAGCGACTACCCACTTCCCCGTATGTTTTTGTATAGTAAACCAGGTCAGCTCGGAATACGTACCCGCGTCGTCGTAACATGCCATACTAGCCCCTGAGGGTATGAGACGCCTTCAACAGCGTTCTTCCAGTGGGTTCTTCAATCAACTCGTTCAATTGGTTCTCTCGGTACTAGGATGTACGGAAATCCTCTGGCTTGATACGGTGAAAGGTGGCGAAAGTACCTGTAATCCCAATACGAGATACCATATTCTCGGAAACTTCAAGAGGAACCGTTCGAGTAAATACGATCCTTATCACCATTTTCCTGGCACACATCCTCTATTGTTTCGCCTTCGGATGTCTTCGGGAGGCGCTCGATAATCCGGCATGGCCATGCCCGATCGTTGCCCACTCACCCCGCACAGGATACTAGGCACGTTGCCCTATTTCTAAGTGTCAGGAAAATGGTGATCAGCATCGTATTGACCCAAATGGTACCTCTGGGATTCTAGAGGATTCGATACCAGGTATTCTCGAGGCTATTTTAACCCCCTCGATCCCAGTAGATAGGAGAGGGGAATCAACACTCTTTTGATCTCATCATTTGGGTAGTTCCCCTTTTTGATTCCGTTGCGCCAATCGCCTAGTACATCCATTGTATTTCCCTAGCTATACAGGATATTCCTGTTACTAAGGATACTCTACAGGCATTTCTGAGTTCGGTTACTGTGTTATAGGGTTCAGAACTCGAAGGATCTAATCTTACCTGGCAGGATAAAGTTTGGCCGTACATAGAGTCCGGACCCCCTGGCGTCGATATCTCTAGCACGAGGCCTGACGATCCAGTCCTGGAGTCTATCCAGTCAGAAATGCCGGCTGATCCCCCAACCTTGACCATACTTTAAGCAGTGGTAACGCTACCTACGGCTTTCAGGCCACCTTTACCGCTCACCGCGTTGTAATTTTACTCTATGTAGATTATATATGGACTCGGATGTACGCGGGGCGTATACGGTGTAACGTTATTATTCAGTGTCGGAATAACTCCTTCTCGAGGAGAGGTAATTCCGAATGCAGAATTTTAAGATTAGGCCTTAATTTTGAAATCCATACTGGAGGGGGTGAAGTGGCGTCGGTAGAAAAGAGGATGTCCATACCCAGGTAACTACCATTGCAATGAAGAAAAGGAAGGAGTATCTCAAGTAGCCCCATATCACGTCATTCTTGTTGATCTGGGCGTCCACCCCGCTTCCTGATTGGGATTGTTGAGATTCGATGCAGATTGAATATGGGGTTGCCTGCTCAATAGCCATAGCTTCCGCCGCGGTAGTGGTTACTTTAACAGTAACCGATCGAATGCCTCTGCTGGCAGGCAATTTGTCTTGCACCATTTGTAAAGTCTTGTGTTTTTGAAAGATGTCGCCGCCGACTACGGCATAGATCGTAAAAGTCACGATGCTCACTACCCTGTGAAAAAAAAATTTAGATTAGATATTGCGAGATAGTATCGATCGATCGTACCACTCTGGACCATAAAAACACACAAGACGAAGAAGCTGCCACGGTTCGGTAATTGAGCACCAGATCTAATACATAGAGAATTAGCCTCATAGTGTGAATATTCAGCCAGGTGGTCGGGTACCTACCAAGGCTGGTCCATAGATTCTCCCTCTTTCAGTAGACTTTATAAGGCTCAGTGCCATCGCGAGTG